GACTCGATGATCCTAAAGGTCTTTTCCAACCGAACCCCTTCTCTGATTGTTGTCCCCGTTCAGAAGAGCGTTGCAGAGGCAGTGCCCTGTGCCCTGAGATGTTGAGGTGCTTCTCCGACCTCGGGAGTTGCGGGTTATCTCTGGCCTGAAACCCTCAGGGAAACTCGAGCTTGAATGTGCTTGTTCAGGCATCATCTGATGATGATCCGAGGGCAGGAGCACCTCTCTTATGAAGAAAGGCTGAGGGAGCTGGGCTTGTTGAGCTTGGAGAAGAGAAGACTCTGGGGAGACCTCATTGCAGCCTTCCAGTACCTGAAGGGAGCTTAGAAACAGGAGGGAGAGAGACTTTTTACACAGGCAGACCGTGACAGGACAAGGGGAAATGGTTTTAAACTGAGAGAGGGGAGATTTAGGCTGGATTTTAGGAGGAAGTTTTTCACCCACAGGGTGGTGAGACACTGGCCCAGGTTGCCCAGATAAGCTGTGGATGCCCCATCCCTGGAGGTGTTCAAAGCTGGGCTGGATGGGGCCCTGGGCAGCCTGATCTAGTGACTGGCAGCCCTGCCCACAGCAGGGGGGTTGGAACTGGATCACCTTTAAGGTCCTTTCCAACTCAAACCATTCTGTGATTGTGTTCCTTCTCTTCCCAGTTTGCTCAGGGGAGTTGCATAGACCACGAGCTGACTGTTCCCTTTTGGTGGGGTGGGGGTTGTTGGGTGATGGGCAGCAGGTGGAATCTGCCCCGGGATCCTTCATTACCTGAGGACACTGTACTCTCTCTTCTTACCCAGGGCAAAATATGCTGTCAGTGCTATCAAGAAGAAAGTCAACGACAAGAATCCCCACGTGGCGCTCTACGCTCTGGAGGTAACGTCAGCTCGAAGCGGCAGCGCCGCGGGGCCCGGCTCCCGGGCCAGGGACCTTCCCGGCTTTGATCAGCCGCCTCCGGGGCCGCGCAGCGTCCGGCCCTGGCTGGGGAGGGTCGGAGTCGCCGCTTGGAGTTTGCCTTCTCCTGGCTCTAGCACAGAGGTTTTGTGGCTGGTTGTCAGGCCGTGGGTTTTGTTCTTTAATTCCATCTCAGAGTTAGAAACAGACAAAAGCTGAAACCTGAGACACTGTCCCCGGGGTCTGAGGCACAAAGGCCTCGGTGCTGTGGAAGCGCAGCTCGCTCTCCAGCGCCGTGGGCTCCTCTGGCTTGACTGACACTGCAGCTCGTTCTTAGGCAGTGTCCTCGCCTCGGTCTGCTGGCTGCAGTAACCTGTGACGTGTGCTGCAGCTCACTGCCGGCCACAGAGGAGGAAGAAAGTGTCAGGCTAATGCTGTCCTTTGCCCCTGCAGGTCATGGAGTCCGTGGTCAAAAACTGTGGCCAAACAGTCCATGATGAGGTGGCTAATAAACAGACTATGGAGGAACTGAAGGAAATACTCAAGGTAAATGTATCTTATCTTACTGTTGTTTCTGAATAAGCTTGTAAGAGAAGCAGCAGGAGGAAATGTGTGTGCTCTCTCCTTTGTATAAGGAACAGAAGGGAAACTTCAGAAATGCGTTTCAGAAAAGAGCAGACTGTATTTGTAGATGTGAGGGGATGAGTGTGGGGAGCCAAGGCGTGCCTGCCAGGGAGAGAAGGGATTGTGAGAGCAAAGGCAACGTCTGGCTGTACTGGGGTAGGAACCTGATGTAAAGGCCTGGACCGTTTCATGCTGAATGCTCCCAGGTGCAATTCTTTGCTTGGCTTGAGACAGCAAAGGGAAGCAGAGACATTGGTTGGACCTGAGCAGCGGTGAGGTGAGTTCCCTTCCCATAGGACAGTGTGAGACACACAGGAAGGTCAAGCAGCAAGGTAAAAACTGGCAGAAGCTTCCTCTTTATCACGGCCATTTCACTGGCCTGGGGAATTGTTTGAGGAGCTTTGCAGGATCTAGACCTGGCTGTTTTCCCTGACAAGCTATCACTGACCAGTCTGATAGAACATGATGCCTGCAGGAGCTCTGTGTGTCCTTGGACTGGAGACTTCTCCATGTGAAGTGGAAATGGGAACTTCTGTCTCCAGCTCTTGGCCCCAGAACAGCAGTGCCCAGACAAGAGCTTGTTAGAGTAGCGCTCTTCCTTCCTTACAGCCTCTGTCTTCTGCCAGGAATAGATGACCAGATGACCCAGATATTTGGTGAATGAGCTGTGTGAGTCCTGTCATCTCGCATGCTGTAGCAGGGTGTCTCCTGTCACCTTCCTGTTAGGGCTGACTCAGCCTCCATGCAGGATCCTCTGCTGAGGTAGGGGCACTGCTGCACTGTTTTGGCCAGGTGTAGCAGCACAGCCACTCTGAGCACTGAGGAGATCAGATCAAGAGATTCTGTGGTTCTCTCCAGACCTTGTAACTGCTGCAGACCTGTTCTCCTCCTACGCTTGGAACTTTGCTGCTTCTGAAGGCCCAGTGCTGGTAAAATGGCCTTAGTTCTGCTGAGGTTCAGGGCTGTGACATTTGTGGAATGCAGGATTTTGGCAAATCTTCTAGCAGTTTGGAGCCCCAGGAACTGTCAGTAAGTCACGCTGTGTGGGCTGAGCCCTCGGCTGAAGCAGGAGTTTGACAATGCTCCTCTGCTCCCCGGGGTGTTTCTGGAGCAGCCGGTCAGGTGAACGCACGATGACTTGGTCAGCTGATGACAGGGCTGCTCTCGGAGGCTGGCTGGTGTGGGAACAGGCTCACCCAGTTTCCTCTGGCTCCTTGAACTGTGATACCACCACCTCTGCCTCCAAAGGGCAGGCTTCCCAGCTGTCCTTACCACCTCACATCCTGAGGTAGCTCTGGGTATTCCTGGGCTGGAGGTGCTGACAGCCTGGCACCAACACCCTCCAGGTGCTCTCCAGCTGTGAGCTTGGGGTGTCCTGGCAGCTCTGGGGGGAGGCAGGCCGTGCTGTGCCCAGCTGGGTAGCTGTAGGTCCCGCAGTTTTCTGGGTGCAGATGAGCGTCTCTCGTGAGATGTTGGGCAGGTCAGTCCATGTGTCTGCCCCGGGGAGCAACTGTGTGAGGCTCTGTGGGCATCTCCTCAAAGCATCGTAACTGCAGCTCCTCACGTCGGTCTGTGCTGCTCTGAAGGATGTTTTCTCGTTCGTGCTGGAGGGGGGAGTGGGGAAGCTGAAGGAGTACGTAGTCCCTGCTGCAAATTGTCCTTGTTGCAGCTTTCTGACAGCTCTTACCTTGTGCAAATATTCTAGTGTCTCTTTTTCCATGAGTGGTATTTCTGGCTTCTCTTCTGGGGGATCCACACCATCCTCTGGGTTTCAGGGTCTTTTTCTCAGATTGTTTTTTTTTTTCCTCCTCCCTTTCTGTGCAGAGGCAAGTGGAGACAAGTGTCCGCAGTAAGATCCTGTACCTTATCCAGGCCTGGGCTCACGCCTTCCGCAACGAGCCCAAGTACAAGGTGGTGCAGGACACCTATCAGATAATGAAGGTTGAAGGTGAGGACTCTGTGGGCAAAGGTGGGTGGACAACTGGCCATGCAGCTCTGCTCTGGAGGAGCATTGCAGGATAAGGAATGGGTGTGAGGACCCTGCTTGGTGTTAGCAAAATCTGGGCTTGCAATACTGAGCTTTTTCTTCGTGCCCAATACCCAGTGAACCTTTGGAGTGAGTGAACCCTGCTGCAGAGAGAGGACAGCCCCGTTGTCCCAGGGTCGGGGGCTGCCTCACTCTGGGCCTCCAGCCCAGCTGGCAGCGAAGGGTTGGCAGTGAGAGCTGGAAAGCAGGAGCTGCGAATGTTCTTCAGGGAACTGGAAGCAAATCAGCCTGTCCTCTGGGAAGGGATTTAGAGCGGGGTGGTTCCTTCCTCCCAGGCTTTCATCAGTACCTCCAGGATGGGTCCAGGCTCCTGCTTTCTGACAGTGCCAGTATGGGGCTTGTCCTGGGGATGGCAGCGTTGTCCGTGAGGGAAGGGACACGCTGCTGTCGCTGCCTCTATCTGTGCACCAGAACCTCCACGGGCAGTGGCAAAGCCTGGAGGTCCCGGTCCCCCACTGAGCCAGTGTTGCCACACACTTGCTGTTCGAGGGGTGAGACTCAAAGCCCTGTGTTGGGTTTTTTTTCCCCCCAAGGTAATGAGAAATAAGCCTTATCCAAAGGCCCCGAAGTCCCTTACGGGTGTCTAAGGGAAGTCAGTAGGGGATTGCCCTGCGTGGCTGAGAGCCCAGTGCTTCACAGGCAGCAGCAAGTGCTGTGCAAGCGTTGCCCTGTGGGAGAAGATTGCTGGTAGTTGTGTCAGAGCAGGATAATGGTCAGGGCAGGCGTGCTGAGCTGGATCTGACGTGGGTGGCTGGGACCTACAGCACGAAGCTGTTGGCCCCGCTCCCCCTGCCCTTTCACACGGACACTGTCACTTCTCCTGCAGGTCATGTGTTCCCGGAGTTCAAAGAGAGTGATGCCATGTTCGCTGCAGAACGGGTGAGCTCTGCTGGTGGGGAGGGGGTTGGCACTGCAGGACAGACCCTGCTCTCCTGTCCCCTTCCTTCTAAACCTTCAGTTCTGTCATTCCTCCATTTCACACAGATTAGAGACCTGTCTGGGCACACGCTGCTCCCAGCTGCCATGCAGTCAGTTCTGGGGTGGTGTACAGCAACGCAGCCTAAAGCTACCAGAGGGAGGGGAGAATTGACCAGGACAGGGAGTTAGTCTCATCTTGCCCTCCTTGGTGGCCTTCCAGCAGTGTGGCAGTCTGAACATGGCAGCAGGGTGTTGCTAAAGTGATTGCTGTGCAGACACGTTCCTAGAAAATCTTTTGCTGACTGGGAAAGCATCACAGTCTCTAGGAACACGAGAGGAGAGAACATGGGGGAATTAATATTTCCTGTTGAGCTGCAAATGCTTCCAGTCTCCCCCATCCATTAGAATGCCCTAGTGAGCTGCAGGAGCTCCGGAAGGGCTCGGTGGAGAGGCTCTCCTTGAGGCCCACCTCCTGTCCTTACACAAGTTTCCTTAACCCTGGCAGGCTCCAGACTGGGTCGATGCTGAGGAGTGTCACCGGTGTCGAGTGCAGTTTGGTGTAGTGACACGGAAGGTGGGTGCTGTTCCTGCCCCTCTGGGTTCCCTGGTCCTGCACAGCCCCTGGGAATTGCAGGACTCCCTGAGCCTGCGTGTGCCGGGGCTGGACCGCGTTCACTGGCCAGGAAGTGCCAGGAGTGTCTGAGTGATGTTGTCTAACAGTGAAGCAGCATCTTGCTCCTGCACTGATGTCTCCCATCCTTTGCAGCATCATTGCAGGGCATGTGGGCAGATCTTCTGTGGCAAATGCTCCTCCAAGTATTCCACCATCCCAAAGTTTGGGATTGAGAAGGAAGTGAGAGTCTGCGAGCCCTGTTACGAGCATCTCAACAAGTCAGTACCTTTGTGGCATGTTTCTTTGTGTGCAGCAGCTGGGACTGTGAGGGGAGAAGCGTGGTCTGGACCCCGAAGTCCCTTACGCAGAGCGAGGGTCTGCAGAGCAGAGCGAGGGTCTCCCGAGCTGTGCAGGCTGGGCTGGGTTCCCTTCCTGGGAATGGGGTTTACAGCCATAACGTTGCACAGAGCTGGGGCTGCAGTGCAGAGGAAGGAGCATTCAGTCTGCACTGTCACCTCTTTCTCACTGCAGGAAAGCTGAGGGTAAAGCTGCTGCCACCTCCGAACTGCCCCCCGAGTACCTGACCAGCCCCCTCTCACAGCAGTCCCAGGTGAGGGGCTGCCCTGTAGGTGATCTGGTGACCCTGGCCTGGTTGTTGATCCTCTTACTGACCCTCTCCTCATCTTTCCACATGCAGCTGCCTCCAAAGCGTGACGAGACAGCCCTGCAAGAGGAGGAGGAGCTGCAGCTAGCTATTGCCTTGTCTCAGTCAGAGGCCGAGGAGAAGGAGAGAATGGTTGGTGCCCTGCTTGGTGTCTGGGAGTGGTTGTTGTCGTACAGCCCAGATGTGCTGGGCATCTCCTAGCTGTGCAGTAACAGATCTCTAGGCATGTCCTGGCATGAGTGAGTCACAGGGCCTGTGGAATGAGAGGGTGAAGGCAGAGCCAGGCACGTGCTGTGTTGCAGCCCCGAAACTTGGAAGCCAGCTGTGCCCAAGCTGCAAGCCCTGGGGCTGGGTCTGCCAGCCATGCCTGGCCATCGCTCGGAGCCTGGCCCACCCAGTGTGCCCAGTCTGTTGCTGACTGGGTGATCTGGAAGAGTCTGGACAGTCCCTAAGTTGACTGTTTTCTTCTCTTTTGCAGAGGCAGAAAACAACCTACTCCATGTACCCGAAGGCTGAGCCCACGCCCGTCACCTCCTCAGCCCCCCCGGTCAGCACGCTCTACTCCCCACCCGTGGTATGTTCATGGGCCCTGAGCACAAACTGGCTGGACGCAGCATCTTCCCTGGCCCGAGTCTGCCCTGCTTGGGTCAGATTTAATCCCTGTTCTGAGAGAAAAGATTTGCCCTGTTCAGTCCTTTGCTCTTTCACAGCACCACTGTGTTTTCAGCAAGGTCTGTACTCAGCTGGCCATTTAGGTGCCTCTGCTGCTTCCTGTAGCTGCAGCGTGTGTCTGGCTGAAGGAGATGTCTGTCCCCTCTCAGTCTCGTGCTGGTGCTCGGCACTGGTGGTTGTGCATGGCCAGGGCTGAGGAGGACATCTGTGTGGGAGCTGTGGGTCTCTGATTCCTCTGAACTGGATTTCCCTGTCTGTCTCTTTCCAGAATTCCTCTGCTCCCTTGGCTGAGGACATTGACCCGGAGGTAAGGGTCCAGGCCTCACCAGCCCACGGCACAGGCTCGCTGCCAGCAGGACTGGGATGCTCATCTTCCTTCTCTTCCTGGCAGCTGGCTCGGTACCTGAACCGCAACTACTGGGAGAAGAAACAAGAGGAAGTTCGCAAGAGCCCCACCCCGTCAGCACCTCTGTCCCTCACAGAGCCAGCTGCACAGCCTGGGGAAGCCCACCCTGCCCCGCTCAGTGTTGTTGAGGTAAGAAGGGGCCTGGACCTGAGTCTGGCAGCTTCTGAGGGGCAAGAAGTGCCCAATGCCTTTGTTCAGCCAGGTCTTGCTGCTGGCTCTGGGCGTGGGAGGGCTGAGGCTGACTGCCTGCCCTGTCCTTCCAGCAGCAGTACCAGAACGGCGAGTCTGAGGAGAACCACGAGCAGTTCCTGAAGGCGCTGCAGAACGCCGTCACCACGTTTGTCAACCGCATGAAGAGTAACCACATGCGCGGCCGCAGCATCACCAATGACTCTGCCGTATTGTCCCTCTTCCAGTCCATCAACAACATGCACCCCCAGCTGCTGGAGCTGCTCAACCAGCTGGATGAGCGCAGGCGTACGTGGGAGCTGCGCGGCCGAGGGCGTGGGCGGGTGTCCTGGGCAGGAGCAGGTGGCTGCTGGGGCTCCCGCAGCGCTGGGGTTTGGTGTTCCCGTGGCACAGCCTCTCTGGAGAGAAGCCAGTGTGGTGTGCAGGGTGGTGTGAGTGCTCTGCCCCGAGAGGGTCCCTGAGGCTGTCCCTTCCCTCCCCAGTGTACTACGAAGGCCTGCAGGACAAACTGGCGCAGATCCGGGATGCGCGTGGGGCTCTGAACGCGCTGCGGGAGGAGCACCGGGAGAAGCTGCGCCGGGCAGCGGAGGAGGCAGAGCGCCAGCG